CTAAATTAAAATATGAAACAATCACTAAAAAGAAATGATGACAGAAAGGCAAAAGCAACAAACTGAGTCCGCTCACAGCAGAACACTAAACGCCACACTCTTGATTCCAGTGCACATGCACTATTCAAAACAGAGGTTTGAATAGTTCAGAGGTGACAGACTATGACATTAAAAGAAATCTGCTAAAGTTCCTCGCATTTGGTTCCATGTAACATCAATTTTTAAATACATATATATGACTGCACCTTAAGTGATTTGTTGCACACTAATGAATGCTGAATGCTGTATGAAGCTCTTATTAATTTCTACAATTGTGCTGCATTGATAAAACAAATGTGCACGTTTTTTTATTTATTTTTTATGGAGCATTGGTAGCAAAAGATACTGAATTTTAATGCCAGTCTTGTCATGTTGAATCTAATCAAATATTCTGTATCTTCTGCACAACATTTTGCTAGAGAGAATATTTCTGAATACATGACAGATATTGACAGCATGTTAAATTTAACAAAACGTCTAATTAAAACCTTTTTTGTTATTTGTTGCTCAGGACACTGAAGGAGATGTGGTAATGAGTGCCTGTGGGTGTGCTGGTTTATGGAGACCATTCAGTATTCAGTGTTTGCAGCTACTGCTGTTGCCCACATGCACAGCTTCCTTTGAGATCAGCTTCCTTTGAGGTAGCCTCTGGCTGGAGTCTGTGGCGATTATCCACATTGTTGGACCACACTTGCACTCTGCCATACATTACAAATTTATGGAAACAAAAGGAAGATAACCAGAAAGCAAGCTCAAAACAATGTGCCTGTTTTTGTGTGTTTGCTTACATATTCTGTTGATTTAACAGTTTGTGTTTCTGGCAGTTACTAATGCGTACATCTTGAAATTGGTGTGTCAAAACTCAAAAATGTTGCTTGTGGCAAAAGCTTAACAGTTGGCAACATGACTCACCCTCTTTCTTCTTCAGGCGTTATTGCATATGAACAATATTTTATAACATGTTTGGCTTTGGAACTCTGGACATCTGATGGAAACTGTGGTCTGGCTGTAATGTGACTCACTGAATGATACTGGCATGCATCAAACGTGATCAGGCACCAATGGTTTATCAGAAATATGAGCCACTTCAGCTTCTAAGAAGGAACAAAATTATGTCTGTGGCACATAAAAACTGTTTAGAAATAGGCTGCTGGCAAGCTAAATGAAGTTGTTTATGCAGTGAAAAACATATTGTTGTCAAGATTTGTTTCACTATTTTGCTGAAACTTAGAGTAAAACGAGGCAAAATAATAAAATAAGTGTATGCATTCCCATTTTTGATCACCATGTATTCAGTACATATAAGACATGTTTTGGAGACTGAATTTCAACCGAGCTTGAAGTATTAAGTGTGACTCCTGCCGAAAAGAACTTGTACATGCATTCATGCCCTTCACATTTTTTCTAATTTTTATCATTTTACAACCACACACTTGAATTAAACATATTTTTTCCCAAAACAAAGTAGATCACAATTCTGAAGTACAAGAAACATAAATTATTAAATATGTTTTTTCACAAATAATCTGAAAAGTGTTGTGTGCATTTGTATTTATTACTTTCATTTTGTCCCCATTGAATAAAATCTTGTGCAGTCGGCTGCTTTATAAGGTCATCTATGTAGTAACACAGTCAATGTGTTTGTAGTTTTTTTTCTTGGCAGAAATACAGCTGTTCTGTGAAGGCCAATAAAGGTGTTTTGTACAATATCGGTGACTAAACAACGTCACAAAAAACAAGGAGCACAGCAAACTAGCATGGGAGTTGTAGAGAGGGTAAAAAACCAGACAAGGAGAGTATTAATCAGAGAATCTGTAAGGAGCTCCACACCAATTCTGGCAGAGTAGCAGAAATCTGTTGCTCAGATGGCAGAATTTAGTTAAATGTCATCTAATAGTTGCATAATTTGACAATCTGTCCATTATAGAACAGTGTTAAAGTTTGCAGTTGTCCACAAGCAGCATCAAGCTATGGTGATACTTGTCCTCAAAAGACAGGGAAACTGCGCAGAGTAGTAGTTATGCCCTACAATGTCCCAGTCAAAGTTCAGACCTAGAATAAATTTGAAGTATTTTGAAAAGAGAACGGCACAAAGATGTGGGCCTCTTGATGCGTACAGTTTCTGCAGCTGTAATTTGAGACAAAATATTGATTCAGGAGGCGGAATACATAAAACAACACTTCTTTTGGAATAGTTTTTGTTGACAAAATTTAAAAACAGAGTTTGTTTTCTTTCCATTCTATATGTATAAGTTAAAAGGGTATGCATATTTCTGTAAATGTAGTCATTTTCTTCTGACTATATGGGCTTTATTTCTGATTCATTTGAGAGAATATCAAATAATTGTATTAAAAATCTGATTATGTTCAATTGGACATGAATGAAAATGGAAGGCTCTCAGAGTTCAGATAAAAAATTCCACAGACGTTACTGAATAACTTTGAGTGTTCTTCCTTGTGTAGTAGAACAAAATGTTTGACCTCGAGATGTTCCAAAACAAAAAATATTTCTGGCTTATAATTGATACAGTAGCACTAAAGTACACCAACAAAAGCGTACACAGAGTGACAGCTGAATGGTTGTAAGCAATGACATAAAATCTGTTAAACTTTGCATCAATCATAAACACATCTTACAACACATTCAGGTGCTGCTCAGTGAAAAATAACATGTTGACATTTTGTGTGCTTTATCAGCATGTACTGCTGCCCATAATCTGTTTATTACTGTTTGGAGGAGACTTAGTGCAATTGCGTCACATGTAGTAACAAGTTCAAAATGCTGCCACAAGTGCAGAAGGTCATCCAACAGGGAGCAGGGATTGTTGAGTGATTATTTGTAGTTTGCATCGTTATAGGGTTGATTATTGCAGACATAATAACCTTTATTTACATCATTAAAAATATTCCTGATGTTTTTGTTGAAATATAATTCCAGTAGTGTGACATATAAACATTATAAAGTGAATGTATTAATAGCTCTAAAAATCGAGGAAGGAAAAGCAGGTTGAAACTGGGTGCCAAAGGATGACTGGAAAAAACCCACAAGGAAAAAAGAGGGCCAATTTATATACATTATACTGTATAGTGTAACTTACTTTCTTACCACTAGAGGGCAATCGACTTCAGACTTAAGTTGAGGAAATTTCCCAAATGATATGAAAAAATACCTAAATAAAGTGTAAGCGTGCACATGCTGGGATGGAAAAAGACCTTTTGATAAACAATTTGTAGGTCAAGGCCTGGGGACAACATGTTATTGTCATTACTATACCAAATACCAAATTCCTCATTGAGGAATCACACTGACAACAATTTCTGCACACAGCGAATCAATAACACCATTACAAGAAACTCACATGAGCAAATCAGTAGAAATCTAATCTACGAAAACATTAAAGGACTTCTAACAAATACTCTATTTTATTGTCCGGTTTACGGGAGAATCAGATTTCATTAAGACGACTGCGCAGTGCATGGAACATTTGATCAAATCAAGCGTTTGTTTACAAAAGCAGCACATTGTTTACGCATATGCAAAAGTTCATTTTGTTATGTTGGGTTGGTTAGAAGTGGAGCACATCTCGGTCTGTGGGTTAAATGCATGCATCTGCGTTTGAAAAAGAACAGAAGTTCAACAGCGGGGCACTTGAGATGCTGCGTTCAAGGCCTCATATTAGGAGTCATTCGCCAGGTAGTCATTTTGTCTCTCACAAAAAGCCGTTGCTCTGTGTAAGAACTGACGTGTTGCATAAAATAAGATAATGCATTGATTACACTTGAAAATTGCAGTAGATTATGCTTGTATCATTTGGCTCTCCAAGAACATCTGAGAAGTTTCTGAGTAAAAAATAAAACATACACCAGATATCCACTATCCAATGTGAAAAATGCTTATAAAGTACCTTTCTGCAGCATTGAACTAGTTCACATCCAATCATGTGTGGTCATTTCGTTCCTGTTCCATTTTAAGCAATCATTAGAAGGAAAACTACTGTGAACAGATGCTCATAAAACAGCTTATACACATATCAAAAGATATCGTGGTGAATTAGACATTTGATGGACCGTGCAGAACAAAGTGTACCCTGTTGCATTATGTAAAAGCAGAGGAGGGGGTGTATTTATCAGAACCCAAAAATATGGCTCATTAGTGATTTTTTTTCTTCTGACAGTCCTGGAAGGCAACACAAGCTCTGCCTCCTTCCCTCCCGCCCTGAAAGCTAATTTGCATAATTTATGCTTGCGTCACGACCCAGTCTTACAAATACAGGCTGGGTGCAGAAATAGCAACAGACAGTCGCTCGAACGAACCGGCGAAGCTTGACTTATAACCCTGACACAGCACTGAGCTCTAAGGTTTCATAGAGGAGTCAGTGCAGCGCTACTAACTCGACGAACTAAACGAGCCGAATCCTCCCAACCGGATCCTCACTTATTGACTCACTTCGGTGACCGACCAAGTCGCAATCGTGGCGAGAAGCATCATCCAAACGAGTGTGGTCCTCAACATGAGCACGGAGATGTTCGCTAAGACTCCGATGGAGGTGGCAGTCTACCAGCTGCACAACTTCTCCATCTCGTTCTTCTCCTCGCTGCTCGGAGGAGACGTCGTTTCGGTCAAACTTGACAACAGGTACACTTTTGTCGATTGGTGCTTGAATGAAACTGAACCGACGCGAGCTGGTTGTAAATCCCTTAGCCGCCCTCTGTTACTGTTCTCCGTTACAAACTGTGGCGCTGCTGACGATCCAACGAGTCTATTACATTGTACTGAAAAGAGTCACAAACTTCTTCGAGCAGTTTCACGCTCAGCCATCTCAGATAACAGCAGGGCGACGATCTCGTTCCCTTTCTGTTCTGGGAGCTTTTTGTTCCACTGTGTCAGGTGTTGCGTCAGGAAGGAACAGTGCGTGTGAAGTTATCAGTGTGTTTATGGCTCTCTCTTCTTGTTTCTGCAGTGCCTCTGGTGCTAGCGTGGTGGCCATTGACAACAAGATCGAGCAGGCCATGGTAAGCAGAGAATGAACACCAAACACAACGCTAATGCATTCAGAAAGGTTATACAGTAGATTCATGCATCTTTTAGCACAGACTATAATGGCTATAATGCTGTGTCCTGATACAGGACACAGCATTACAGTGCAATCAGTCTGACCTCGGTATAACTTGTAAACAGATATTTCACTCAGCACATCATATGGGCTGTTTATCCCTGTAAATAAGCTTGTGACCTTTTTCCTAGAATGATTATTTGCGACATTTAGAATCACTGGCGTCTGCTAGAAATAATATCTAAAACTAATTATGAATAAAAGTAGTGGGAATCCCCTGATGTGAGCAACAAGTGCAGACATGTTTTTCCTCTCAGAGTTGAAGAGGAGTCCTGGGAGAAAAGACAAAACAATACTTAGAAATGGCATGGTTCATAATATGCAAACTTAATTGTAATAATACCCTTCAGAAAAACTGAGGAGAAAATCAACAGGCGAACCAAATGCATGCATCAGTTCTGCGATAAACTCATTTGTCTTACAAGATTTTCTTGTCCATGCCTATTCTGAGTCTGATCCATCTCTTGTTTTTCAAATGACAGGATCTTGTCAAGAACCACTTGATGTATGCGGTGCGTGAGGAAGTGGAAATCCTCAAGGAGCAGATAAAGGAGTTAGCAGAGAAGAACAACCAGCTTGAGAGGGAGAACTATCTGCTTAAGAACCTGGCCAGTCCGGAGCAGCTGGAGAAGTTCCAGTCCCGCATCCCGACAGATGTGCTCTTGGATAATCAGAACGTCCGGGTGACCCCAGCACCACAGCAAAAGAACCAGCAGCAGAGCTGTAGCCACAGCACTGGCTCTGCTGTATAAGTGGCTCTGCCTTGGGGCGGGCAGAGCCACTTTGTCTTTAAAAGTCGTGGACCTCGTTTTTAAAAACGTAAGCGTTACTAAATCGCCACCACCGAGACCCCTTCGGGATGTCGAAGAAGAATCATCGGTGCTGTAAATGATTGATGGGACTCAAATGAACTGTTGATACTGATAAGCACAAAACCAGAACTAGAGACGCTCTAAAACTGGTGCTATGTCAGGCCCATCCTGTGTACCATCCAGCTCTTTGTCGTAGTCGCTCTTCATAGGCCTGAGTGTTAAGCATAGAAAGGGCAGACTAGCCTAGACAGAGGGTGGGGGATTTCCCTCCCTAGCCAAACTCTTCCAGCAAAGCACCGTCCTTTTTTCCTCTGTTGAGGAAGGGGAGGAGCAAAGAGGTGTTGATTGGGCTTGCCCTGCAAGCGCTAACCTGGAAAGTGCTGGGACTTCACTCCCTCATGACCCAGAGGAGACCCATCTGAGACGGTCCTCCAAGTCTCAACAAGAAAAGTCCCATTGGTGTGGATTCACCTCATCTCAAAATACTTTAATGGACTTCCAACCACACATTTCAGACACATACAGACTTTTGATCTACCGACAGTGTATTGCTGCCATGTTCCTGTCCATCCTAAGCATAACAAGGAAAATACACAGGATAAGCTAAGGCCACAGAGGTGGAGGTCAACGCAATGTTCTCCATCTAAGCTGATGAACTGCTGCAGTAAACTAACAGAATACTGTAATATCTCATAAAACATGTACACTTGTATTGTTTGCTGTCGGGGCTTGCTGCTTATGGGGGTAAAATTAATTCTGCTATATCTTCTATTTTTGTGAAATTCAGAACAAAAATGAGTTGTTTTGTACAATAAGAGCAGTGTACTAGGCTTTCAGAAGCTGTCTTTGTTACAGGTCCGTCCATATCTGCCATTTTGTTTGCTTAACTCACAGGAAAACTACAATGTACATACAGATGAAATGTCTCTGAGGTAAATAATGTTAGGATGGTTTGGAAGCAGACAGCTGCATTTCTAGCAGCCTATGCACTCCTTTTGTTTGTAGGTAGTGCCGTCCAGTATATGGTCTCTTTCCTTATTCAGATGGCAACTTGAAAACAATGGCACGACAACAGTGCCTGTGAGCGATGATCGCATTTCTGACAAGACTTTGGTTATTGTTGTCGTTTTTTTCCAGCTACCAAAGACGTATTTTCACACGGCACCAAAAGCTAACCAAATGAGGACCATGTGTAAAACTTCACAGGGAGAAGTCTTCTTCGTAGCTAGTGCTAAATTTTGTTTTATTTGTTTTGTAAAAATTACGATTTTGTTGCTATAATGTATCCCTGAAACAGTTGACCACTGTGATTTTTGGATACAACTGCACAGTTGCAATAAACCGTATGTTTACATAATATATCATGTTGTCGGTCTTTGGCTCATAATTCTATCATAATGAGATGATGTATTATTTTTGAACTGCTAACAAATTGTATTCAGTTTGTCTTGTCATCATGATGATATCTAATTAGGTGTAAGTTAACGCTTAAATTTTTACTCATTTTTGCTTGAGGAATCTTAATAGGGTGAGACGTAAAATCCACTGAAATCCCCCTAATCTTTATCTTGAAGAAAACATTTAAACATTTTAAAATGCTTACAAACTTCTAAGCACATCAGAGAAGAAATTTCTTGTGTTAATTTCTTTGGGCCTATTTTAAGTCTTTTACAGCCTCTATCATTATTTTCTCCCAGTCTCCATCCATCTTGCCATCTGCTTTGGTTACATCACCTGCCCTTGATAAACCAAAGCATAACCACAGCATTATGTTGCTGGACATGGTGTTTTCAGGGTGTTTGTTTTATCCTACACATACCATGTATGTCAGAAAACTTCAAATGTGTTCCTGGTTCGTCTTAATGGTGTTTGCTATTGAACAAACTGAACAACTGCATTCATGCTGATTTTATATGATATGCAGATTATCTTTATGTGGTTTCAGAAGACAGTGAGCTTCATAACATTTGGCGTGCCCAATTAAAAAAGACACATCATCCTTTCTGTATTTGAACGATTTGGAAAGAATGTGTTACTTTCGTTCATCTCAAAGTTTCCTTTGTGTTGATCCTTCACATATCAAAACAAAACTGTTTCTGACAAAATATGTAAAGGTACAAGGGGTGTGAATACTTTTAACCACCATATGGTTCCTCCTGCAAAAATAATTTGCAGGAGGAAATTACTTCAAGCTCTGATTGAAGTAACTTGAAGTCGTCTCATCAGACTTGAATAAGACACATTTCATACTCTTTGTCCTTGTTTATAATCATTATGTAAGTGTTTTCCCCGCCCAAAAGTCAAAAACAGCACAACCACTAATGATAGTGAAGTAATAATGGCTAGTTTGCGTATGGTCTGGAATCTGCAGAGGAGGGCAAAAACACTTTGTACTAGTAGCTATTTCTTTTTAGTTTAGCTGGCAGCCTGTGTGTAACCAGATATGTTGTGGCTTCCCTGATGCGAACACTAGACTTGTATCCATCTATTCCTGAAAACATGGTGACTTTTGGCCTGAGATCACCACCGATTAAAATCCGTGGTCTTCTTTATGTGTTCTGTGACAGAATAACTTATTGGTTGTGCAGCTGATGGTCTAGATCAATGCATTCTCTGCTTTCAGGATGGGTGTGCAGTTTTAAATGAGAGCTGCATTAATTATTTAACAAAAGAGGAAACAGTCAGGTCTTTATTGGCTGTTTCACACAAAATACTTCTGGTCAGTCTATCAATGAAAGAGGCTTCAGGGTTATGTACAGAAAGCAGTGCTCCAGTTTAATCAGACTCATGTTAATAGCAAAAACAGCTTCAACCACAAAGGAAAAATTCAATCTGGCTCTAGAGCCAGCATGCCAATAACTATAGAGGGCCAGGAAAAGCCTGAAGACAATTAGGACTGTGGTTTCAGCTAGTACTTTGCTTGCTCTCGTTCTATTTTAAGACTGGTTCCGAAACAATGTGTTCCTGATTCATTTTAGTGGCTTTTGATTTGCAACTGATTGATGACAAGTTTCCAGGCATGCTTCATATGTGACATAACACCAAAAAATACAGCTGAGAAAATAGATGTCTCTTAACCATAGCCATGATGTCTGTTTCACAGCTGTTTGCAGCTTTTTTGAAAACACATTAGGTAAATGGTGAGCGAAATTCAGTTTAGCTTCTTAAAACTAGCTCCAAATAGAGGTGCAAAAGTACTCTAAAGAAATCCTTAAAAACTTCATCAGCCCAAACTTTGTTCTACAATATTCAAAATTCAATGGTCCCTTCCAAAATATTGAAAACTTTCTCACACTCATCAGAAATCGTACCAAGTGGCGTGTAGAACGTGTGTCAAATTCAGAGCCTGCTGGGCAAATCCAGCCGTCATAACTATTTATGTGGCCCTCTGGACTTTATGGCAAACTAAATCTTGATAAAACTTCACAACACTGTGCTTAAATGTTATTTTATCAGTCAAATCAAATCAGTTTTTATGTGTATAATGTCAAATGACTTCAATGTTAAATGTTAAATTCTATAAAGAGAGAATACAGAGAAAGTTACAATATTTTAGTTATTAGTTTACCTTTTTAATGCATTCTACCACAGTTGTTCCTTTGAGACACTCACGATCTCAATGTGGACAAAATTGAATATGATTTTCGGACCCTGGTTTAGAACATCTTCTTGTTGACAGGGCTTTACAACATGTGAATAGTTTCCCCTTTTGTCACATTACAACTACAAACATCAATGCATTATTTTGATATTCTACACAGACCATCACAAAGCGGCACATAGTTGAGAAGTATAAGATAAAAAAAAAAAAAAGGTTTTACAATTTTTTAAAATCTGAACTGTGAGATATGAAGGTGACAAGACTGCTGCACATCTGCTGAAAAATGTGTGTCCACCTTCAACGACAGATCAGAAGATTAGTTGGAATAGAAGCCAAACAAGGTCCAGAGAGCTACAGCTCAGGTGGAAGAATCTATTTACAGAAAAACAATCAGTTTAGTACTTTAAAAGTCTGGGCTTTGTGGATGAACAAAAGTCATTATGGAAAGAAAGCTCTAAGAAGCTCTGTTGGCAGTTTGTCATAAGCCATGTAGGGTACAAAAGAAACATGTGCAAGAAGTTGCTCCGGGCAAATAGTATCAGCGTACATCAGCAATCAAAGCATGGTAGTGGCAGCATCATGCTTTGGGAGCTCTTTTGTCAAGATGGAGGCAGCTAAATGGAGGGTGATCCTGGAGGAAAATCTGAGAACAAACAAGGATGGTTGGAATAAAGGCTTAAAAGATTTTGTTTAGAAAAGCTTCCCCTCCAACGTGACAAAGCTTAAACTGTTCTGCAAAAAAAAAATAATAATAATAAAAAAATAACTGGCGACCATTTTTGAAGTGTCATGAATACAGAAGGGACCCCAAAAGACTTGCCTCTATACCTGCAGCAAAAAGGGAATGCCTTAGTTTATAGAGTCAAGACGGCTGAATTCAAATAAATAGATGTTTCTGACTGGAATGTGCAAACATATGGACAAGATCAAGGGGTGGGAATACTTTTGGAAGACATTGCATTCTTTTGTTAGTAAGTTAAACTCTCAAACCAATATGCTCTTAAAAAGTGCAGAAACTCAAATCTTCACTTATGACTGTGAATATAAGTTTTAGGGCACATGAAACGAGACAGCTAAAAGAGGACTTTCTGCTGGATTACTGAAGTTATGCAACACGTACACACACATGCATACTGAATACACATCAGTCTCAGATGGAAATTTGGGGTTGGTGCAGGGAAAGACTGGCTCTGCCTCCAAGTGGTTGGCTTTGCATGCAGGGGAATCATTTGGTCAGATTGTTTTCCATTCCCAACTTGCATGTTTAGCTAAAAATGTCAAAATAAAGAGTAAAGCAGCTGCTAAGTATTTATTGGTACACCTTTTACAACTGAAAATGTGCAGTGCATTTCTGGCACTATGAACTAGTAATTCTAGAAAATGTTGCTCAGAAGAGTCGCAAATGATTGAACATAGTTATGTTATGGTTAAGTAATGTGGTTTTTGATCTCCCCCACACAAAATCTTCAAGGATGCAGAAGCTTATACACAACAACTTTATTGATACTCTTCATCAATGTGGGGGGCATAGCAAATCCTGAAAAACGGAAAGAAAAAACAAATTCTAAACAAATTTATCCAGATATCTGTTCCAAGTGGTTCTCACTTTATGTAGGTCTAAGAGTCATGGAAGTATTTACCCACTTTTAGTTATGTATGTAATACTTTCCTGTGTAATTGTGCATCAGTCACAGTTTCTCATGCAAGAAAAGTTCAACAGTTTGGATGTTGAACTCTCTTGAATCATGAGTATTCAAATTAGCTCACTGATATGAGTTGCAAACATGATTAAATGGCATTTAAAGATCACAAGTGATGTCCATTTTGAACATGAGAGGACTATGGGGCAGATTTTTTAACTAGATTTCCATAAACAGTAACTTCCTCATTGTTGTGTACGATCAGAATCCTGAAGAAATCTGCAAAGCCTGGATTTAAAAGCCTTAAAAAGCACAAAGTTCACAGGTTGCCATTCATAGTTATCAATTTTTTTTATGGATCATTAGGCACAGGTGACATTGACATTCAGCATTGAGATCATCTGGCAGTGATGAACTGGGGGTGGGAGACCATTTAATAGTGGGGTAAATTAAAGGGAATGGGGAGGGGGAGTGGGACTCTTCCCACCGCTGGTTGTATCCATGCTGATTCTTGAGGAACACTGCCAGGTCAGAAAATCTTACACAAATAGACAAAAGGTCAAGAGTCATAGGTTTTGAATTTACACTGATGCCTCTGTTCCTGGAACAACTGCTCAGCAAGACTACATGCATAATCGAAACCCTCCACTAACCCCCACTTCCAAATATGGCATATTTAAGTTCCAGAAAGAAATGGTTGCATAACGTGAATTAGATAGGGTAGATATATTTTCAGATGTGAGAAGTGATGCAATTATAAAACATGGGAAACTTCTTCCATTTAGCCCAACATAATGGCAATATAATAAGGGTTTCAAAAATTAAATCAGTGTATAAAGACAGAGGCATGGGTTGTAAAGCATTATGTAACTCCCCTCCTGCTGTGCTTCCAATATGGGACCGGTCTGGTAAGTATCTTTTAACTGTTTCTTCTCCTTTGAGCTAAGTAAAGATGCCAGAGGGCTGGAGGTAAGTAACAAGACTAAAATTTGAGAAAGGTTTACAGTTTGTAAACGTGGAGAAAAAATAATTTCTATAGGATTAGTGCTAATTAGCACAAGAACTAATGAACATCTTGTTCCCTAAAAAGGGATGCGGACAATACTGTCAGAATCCCT